CTGAGAATTTACAACAAGACCACTATGAAGGCCGGCACGGCACACGAGGATGTGGGTGGCCAGCACCACGCCCCAGCAGCCTTTATCTCCCCAGTGGCGATGTTGAAACATCTCACCAGGTCCTCATTTGAGGCTGAGTCGACCTAGGGGAGGCCCAGGAACGGTTCAGATAATCGTCACCAGTGTTTACCATGAGCGGGAATCGAACCCGGTTCGCCAGGTTTGTAATGCAGAGTATCGCTAACCGCACAGACTCGTACGCACACTGCGCTAACCGCACAGACTCGTACGCACACTGCGCTAACCGCACAGACTCGTACGCACACTGCGCTAACCGCACAGACTCGTACGCACACTCACGCATCTGATGAAACCGCAGCGCAAGTGCTGGCGGTGTCGTGTCTGTCCGAGGCGCAGATTTGGCAGGTCTCCTTCACGAGCACGTGCCAGACAACTCGATCACCAGCCTGGCCTGGCGGCACGAGCCGGCGGGTGCGGGGCGGGGGTAGAGCGAGACGAATTGATTTAGGGACGCGAAAGCCTCACCCCCCCCCACCCCCTCCTCACTGCCATCTGTTAGGGACAATTCGCTGCAAATCTCACTGGGATTAACTAACACATTCACACTTTCGCATACAAAAGACAATGACAAAGATCCCCTTTATAGCCTTAACAGACTGTTGGGGCAAGTGCTGTTAGCGAGCAGCTCCCATGAAGGTCGACCACGCACGTGGCGATGTACTCATTTGAGGCTGAGTCACACAAAGACAAAGTGTAGCGGTTAGCTGCGTTACGAACCTGGCGACCCCGGTTCGATTCCCGCTCACGGACTAACACCAGTGACGATTATTTGATCCGGTCCTCTATGTCGACTCGGCCTCAAATGAGTACCCGGTGCGGTGTGTAAACATCGCCACTGGGGGGACAAAGGCGGCCGGGCGTGGTGCTGGCCACCCACCCCCTTGTGTACCGTTCCGGCCCTCATAGGTTATCGCTAACAGCACTTGCCCCTACAGTCTGAGTCACACACAAAGATCCCCCGTATAGCCTTAACAGACTATAGGGGCAAGTGCTGTTAGCGAGCACGGAACGGTACACGAGGGGGGTGGGGGTGGCCAGCACCACGCCCGACCGCCTTTGTCTCCCCAGTGGCGATATTTACACACCGCACCGGGTACTCATTTGAGGCCGAGTCGACCTAAGGGAGGCCCAGTAATCGGTTAAAATAATCGTCACTGCGTGTTGGCCGTGAGCGGGAATCGAACCCGGGGGTCGCCAGGTTCGTAGCGCAGCGCGCTAACCGCTACACCACCGCTCCCCATTGAGTCACTCCCCCCCCCTCAACACCCCATAGCCCCACGCGGTGAGAGCAGAAGGCCGGGCCGCAGGTGCTCACCCGGCTAATGTCCGCCCCAACCAGGGGGGGGGGACGGCCAAGTGTGCAATGAGTTTTCGCCACGAGCAGATGCTGCCCCGCGACACTTGAGACCCCCCCCCCACACACAATACACTGCAGAAGCCGAGGGGGCGGCGGTAGAAATCCGCGGAAGCCACCCCCCCCCCCCGCCGTGTTTGCTGTCGAAGAACGCAAGACTGAGATCCTGCGCGTGTGTAGTGTGTAGTCTGTAAACACATGCGCCTACCTCCAATGGAGTCTGCGCGCGCGTGCATCTGTGTGAGGTCTGCGTGTGTTCAAGGTGGGGAGCGGTGGCGCAGTGGTGGGCGCACTGCGCTCGATCGCGGTCAACATCGCTGACGAATAGCAGAACCGATCGTGGGCCTCGCCTAGGTCGACTCAGCCTCAAATATGTGCCTCGTGCGCTGTGTAAACGTCAGCATTGGGGAGAGAAATGCGTCCGGGCGTGGTGATGACCACCCCAACCCCTTGTGCAAAGTGCCGGCCTTCGCAGGTGCTCGCTAACCAGCATTGCCCCACGCAGATTGCTAAGGCTACACGAGGGGGACATGTATCTATCTCTCTGTGTGTGTGTAAGGTACGCGAGTCTTCACGCATACTAAACCACTAAACCCGGGTTCCGCTCTACTTGGGAAATATTTCATTGTGCTCGTGCCGCAAAAAGCATCTTGCTTCCCTGTGGTGGCTGCTGCAGCTGCTTGCCGATGGCACGCTTCGGCCTGCAAAAGGTGGACGGCGTGTCTCCCAATGCTCCCAGGAGCCTGAACAGTCCAATGGGCGATGACACGATCGGCTGTTTGATGCGAAATTTCATCAAGAAACACATTTGCTGTCATGGCCCTGCCCTTAAGACTTACGAGTTTCCCCTTAGGTGCAAACACAGCATGAATACCGCACCAACGGATGTGTGTTCGTGGTTGGTAGGGGTTGGTGCTCGCACCGCGGTCCGATTCCATCTCCCCAGCGCGTTAGTTGATGCGACGCTGCTGCTGCTGCTCCGATGCTGCTGCAGGTTTATTAGAATCCTCCCCCCGCGCCCTCTGTCCACCCGGCAGTAGAATCCGATGTGGACATTGTTGCACTCAAAGATAAGATATGCAAACTATTTTGTCAAGGCGCCCTTCCCCCCCCCCCTTCCAACCCAGCTTAAATATACGCTCCAAGCATGGTGCTGTTTCACCTGATGACGGCTGCTTGCGTTGTGGCCGAAACGTCGTGAGAATAATTTTATTATGTTTTATTTTATTATTTTTATTGTTTCCATTCTACGTGACTTTACCGAAAGAACCAAGAAGGCGGTATAGTACTATAATAATAGAGCAAGTGCAGAATCAGCATTTGTAGCTACTTTTGCTACTAGGATAATCTGGCACTGGTGATAGGGCTGGTGGGGGGGCTATAACCGATCCACAGATGTCACTCACCCCACTGATCTGAGCCGTGAAGACGAAGTCGAACTGTGGTGGCTGCCTCGTTTTTAATTGCGCGGTGCTGAAACCACAAAGCGCACAACGCGCCGCTGGAGGTGTTTACGGTGTAGGGGCGCCCTCTGGTGATCTGCAGTGTGTAGTGCCGGGCACCGTCCACAACGACGGCGGTCAGTCAACTCGAAGGGGACCTCAGACGTAGTTCCGTCACTCCTGCCTCCACGGGCCGTTCTCTAACGCTTCGTTGATGCGCGCGCGAGTCGCCGTGGCCGCGAAATTCAATTGGGGTGGCCGGTTTCATCTCGCAGTGCGCTAACCACTGCGCCACCGCCCCCTCCTTCCAGCGATGAGTGTCCTCTGGTTGCTCCTACACTGGACAGCGGTCACAACAAACTTTAAAAAAACGTAACCTTGATTTTTTATTTTACCAAATAAAGACCACTGAGCTATGTAGCTATTTTTCATAAGCGACTTGGCTATCACAAATGATAGCTCAACGAAGTGGCTTATCACGTGGAAATGTACAGCAGCCCAATACTCTAAATGCGTGTTTTATAAATGTGGGGGGGGGGGGGGGACCAGAGGAACCGGAGAAAAATCCACGCTACCACTGGGAGAAAGAGATACACGCCGCAAACCCCAAATATACAGCAGCAGGCGTCAGGGTCGGGATCGAACCCACGACCTCCTGTACACCAGGCGAGGTAGTTAACATCTCCTAGCCACCGCGGCGCCCCTACAATGACGACTGCTTCACCCGGATTAGTGCGTTCAGATGGAACATCTCGGAAATGGGACGGGAGGCGTAATGAGAACAGCCGATGAGAGAGCAGGGCCGCAATTATCTCCGGAGTGGGAACACCGCACCTCGGTCGGCTACTTACGGTGCGAATGACGTTCCGCACACGCAACACAAACACAACGAGACAGAGAGAGAGAGACGGGAAGAGAAGGAGATGCGGACATCGCAAGCGATGGCAGAGACGACGTCAAAGAAATGTGGAGACCACCACCGGACAGACACAAGCGGGGAAAGGGAGGTGTGGGAGGGAAATGGGAGAGGGCCTTTTCCCAGCCGTGGGAAGTTACCGGCCGAGAACACCAACAACATTCTGAGCATTAATTACGTAGATTATTTCCAAAGTGCACCATTAAATGAGAGCACTGCACATTTACGTGATCTATTCTGCGTTAACACCATCGCCCCGGCGCGTTAAGGAATTACCCCACACTGCGTCTCGCCCTTTGGGATAGAGTAATTGGTTTAATTTGCGGAATAAATCGTAATCGCCGGGAGTTTCCCCCCCGCCCCCCCCCCCCCAAAAAGCCAGAGTCAAAGTCTGCCGTGATTCAGAGAGCAGTGGAGATTCTTCAGTTCTGCTCTTCAGTCGATTCCTTTATTTCCAACCGGGGTAAGAGCTCACAAACACCGCTCCTACTCACCGAATCGCACTCACCAGCACGGTGAGCTGACGGTGAAGAGACCACGGCGACTGTTGCCAAGCCACCGAGCCTGGGTTAGCTTAGAGGAGATCTGCGATAGAAAGAAGTGCGGAATAAAATTAATGTTGTCGCAGCCCTTGACGACGATGATGATGGTGTCAAATGCTGGACCATCAGAGTCATCAGCAGTATGCAGACACCGACCACGACGCCTCCATCCTCGCCTTGCGACCCACACTCTTGTGTTCGATAATTTATCTTTCCACTTTCTCGACGCCGCTGTCGGCCGCGTGCCACGAGACGAGACAACCCGTTGGGATCTCGGTGCGCGCCTTCGTGATGGGCGAATGGCCCGCGGAAGTGGCTCTCGCAGAACTGCCTCTGAGGCCCCTTCCAATGAACTCCGTTCACCTTCGTGGCAAGTCGTCAAGCAGGGCACCTCGCGGGTAGGGGCATGTTGAAGTAATCCTGACGCTGTTGTTGGTGGTCGAACTCTAAATCCTCGTGTGATTAAACGCAGTGCCCCGGTCGTGTGAGTGGTGGTGCCCAGGTGTAGGGGCGTGCCCAGGTGTGGGGGCGTGCCCAGGTGTGTCTTTGAAGGCAGCTGCCCCGGGTAGCAGGGAGACACTCTGCAGGTCGGTCCTCGGAGACGCGGCGACCTCCAATTCCGACCTTTAGCCAGCGCAACACACGCGGTGAGCAGAGCGGGGTGAGCAGAGCGGGGTGAGCAGAGTTCACTTTGTGTCGCCAGGTGAGGGATTTGCGAGATTGGCCTGGATCACCACCATGACAGAAGCAAGAACATTTAAACAACAACAACAACAAAACACAAAGTGCTGCATAGCAATGCAGCAAATATAAATCAGCGCAAACCCAACGGCGTTGCGGTTACAAGGAAGTTATTGATAATTGACTGTAGCTTGAGTTGGCTCGGGAAACGACTTGGCTCGCAGACACACGGTGAACGCTTCCAGGGCAGCACAACAACAACATCAACAACAACAACATCAACAACAACATCAACAAAAACAACAACAACAACAACCAGATGGTTTTCTCTTTCAGGTTCGCCATCTGACGAGGCTGCCTCTGGGCTCCGAGTTGGAGGGCAGCAACATGGAGGAAACTCGTGAAGAAGAGGCGAAGAGAGCGCAAGACCAAATCCAGCGGATCCAGAAGGAGCTGCTCAAGGTCGTGAGGTCCTTCATCGAGGAGGAAGGTACGAGCGGGGGGGGGGCTGCGGTGAATCCGGGCGAGGAGGGGGTGATTGCCCCCCCTTCCTCCTTGAAACCCTTGTGGAATTCTCACCTGTTTGTCACATGTGTAGTGCTCATACCTGCGTGTCTGTCACCTGCGTGTCTGTCACCTGTGTCTAACCTGTTACTCTCACCTGTATGCCTCTCCCTCGCGTGTCTCTCACCTGTGCATTGCTCACCCGCGCCTTACCTGTCTCTCTTCTGTCCCTCGCCTGTGTGTCTCTCACCTGTCCCCCACCTGTGTGTCTCTCTCTCTCCCTCGCGTGTCTCTCACCTGTGCATTGCTCACCCGTGCCTTACCTGTCTCTCTTCTGTCCCTCGCCTGTGTGTCTCTCACCTGTGTGTCTCTCTCTCGCTCGCGTGCCTCTCCTCATCAGCCGTGTCAGTGCTCACCTGTGTGGGCTTTCTCCCCCCCCCGGCCCCCCGTGGCCGCCCCAGACGGCCCCTACAGGTGGCAGAACACGTTCCGCGGGCCGGGCCAGGATCCCGAGTTCTCGGTGATGCCGGGCCACGCCGAGGCGCCCGCGTCTGCCGACATGCTGAGCCCGGCCAAGATCGCCCGTCTCACGGAGCGGGCCTTCGAGTTCCTCTTCGCGCAGGCAAATCACGACGTCAACCACAATATCAACAGTATGCTTGGTAGAAGGGACATAATAAAATAATACAAATAAAACATAATAAAAATAAAACAATATTATTTCCCTTCTACGTGACTTTAACGAAAAAAAACAAAAATATGAATTCCTGCAGTCACGAAAGCTTTAAATCGAAATATCAACAGTCACAACATAATTTCAACTCGTAACGCGCCGCGCGCCGCTCGCTCGCTCGCTCGTAACAGGGAATTGCCCGAGATCTGTGGTCCTCTATGTATGAAGATGTTATCGGCCAACGAATGAGTGTGTTCACAAGTGCGAGGGAGCGAGCCTCGTTTATCGTACCTTTTGGCTCGCCATCGCGTGGCGCTTTCAGATGCGCTGCTTCTGCGGCCGTCTGGAACGTTCTTGCTTCCGATATGAGGAAGACACTGCAGCTGTGCACTCTTAAATCATCGTCATCTAGATCGACAAAATCATTTATTTCGATTGGCAACGTGCGACGCGAAAGAAGTTCACATCCACGTCCGTGGCCGGAGGGCGACTGTTGTGTTGGGCAGGCGGGTTTGGCCAAACGCTACGAGAGCAGCCCGGACAGGATGACCGCGTTCTTCCACGGCCACCTCAAGGCGCCCGAGTCGATCATCAAGTCGTGGAAGGACGACGCCGCCTTCTGCCGGCAGTTCACGCAGGGTAAGGGCGCGGCACTGCGGCGGCGTGAAGGCGCAGCCCTGCAATGTCCTCGCCTCAAGCCAAGGCTGTCGGAAAGGCCTCGCGCTGGAGGGAATCTCTTAGCGAGCACCTCGAAAAATATACTTGGTGAGAGGCAGGTGAGAGGCACACAGGTGAGAGGCAGGTAAGAGGCAGGTGAGCACTGCATAGGTGAGAGACACACAGGTGAGAGGCAGGTGAGAGGCACACAGGTGAGAGACAGGTGAGAGACAGGTGAGAGGCACAGGTGAGAGACACAGGTGAAAGACACACAGGCGAGAAACAGACAGGTGAGACACAGGTGAGACACACAGGTGAAAGACACACAGGCGAGAGACACAGGTGAGACACACAGGTGAGAGACAGACAGGTGAGACACAGGTGAGACACACAGGCGAGAGACACAGGTGAAAGACACATAGGTGAGACACACATGTACTGCGTTCTCCTGGCAGGGTCAGGGCACGGCCCCTCTTGGGAGTTCGACAACGCAGCGCTGGTTTACAGGCCACGTGCAGCAGCGTAGCCACCACGCCCATGCCGTGCCCCCCCCCCTGTCCCCCCAACTCAGGTCCAAACCCCATGATGATCAGCGTCTGCCGGAGTCTGCGGGAGGTGCCCTGGGAGATGCGAGGCCTGGCGGGGCAGGGCTGCACGGTGCCGCAGCTGCTGGAGCAAGGCCGCCTCTTCGTCGCCGACTACAAACAACTCGCAGGCGAGACAACGCCACGTCTCAGCCACCCCCCCCCCCCGTAACCCCCCCTACTCCCCCCCCCCCTCACGAACTGAAGGCCATTGGTACGAGGAGGGGGGGAGCAGTTTCAGCGTTGGGCCCTCAAGCCCGCTCCTCCTCGCTTTAGAGGGCGGATTGCAGGATGCGGTCTCAGCTCTCATCCTGGAGCTCCAGTGGTGGCCTCTGGCGGATGTTGAGGCTCGGAGGCACTGGCCGTGGTGCTGGCCTCGGCAGCGGCAGCGTTTACATCGCTCCCTAAGACCAAACAAAGCCACCACGTGCTTCTCATTCAGGGGGAATGTTTATCAAGCCTGTGCACAGCGTACGGTCGCAAAGTTCAACACGGCAACACCGGGACACGATGTCTGCACGAATCAATTGCCGCCACACGAATACAGAGGCATTTTCCTGAACCGTCCGGGTGAAACCCAGACACGTGGCACGCCTCGCCTAGACGACCCTTGACTCGTCTGGACACTGGCCGGGGTCTAAGAGGTTCCCTGCCTTGATCCGGGTGGCTCTACGCCTCGAGTCCAAGACTAGGGAATTGTTGGGCAATTGTTGTTGGAAACCATTACCAACAATCTCCTCTTCACGGAGGGGCGATAATTTAATCAGACGAGGTTTGCCACCAGGGCTAGACACGCCGGCGCCCGGGGCAATGTGCCCCCCCACCACCCTGCCCCTCGCCACTCGTCTTCTTCTCCTCCCACGTGTTCGTCCCACTCGTGTGCGGTGTTCCGCTGTTCTTGCCAACCTTCTCCACGCTGCACCGTCCTGCGCCATCTCTCTCTCTCGTTCTCCGCTCCACCGTGGTCAGATCGCACTGCATCGCCCCCCCCCCCCCCCCCCACGTCTCCTTCTGCCCTCCTCTTGATCTCTGTCCTTCCGCTTGCATCACTCTGACCCGCATCGTTCTCCTGCCGTCTCTCCACACGACCGAACCACACCGGAGCCATTTCTCTCTCTCTCTCTCGCATCTTCTCTGTGATGTCTACCACCTTGAGTCTCCCTCTCGCCTCTTCATTTCTCTCAGCCCCTTGCCCTTCCTTGTTAAACCCCCAACATCCACCGCAACATCCTCACCTCTGTGGCTGCCATTAGCTCGCACCTCCCTCTTTCTCGTGCCACAGCACTCGGCCACACACAGCAGCACCGGCCTCACCACCGTCTTGTAACACTTTCCCCTTCACTACCGCCCCCCACACAAAACCCTCGAGCCACCGATCCTCCACCGCTCGCTTCCATCAGTTCAGGGGGTGGGGCAGCTTCCCCACGCGTCCCGCCGCTCGCTCACGGCCCTGCCGCCCCTGCCCTGCGACCCGCCGCCAGGGCTGCCCCTGCTGCCCCAGGACAAGAAGAAGTTCTGCGCGCCCCTCGTGCTCATGTTCCGCGAGCTGCAGCCCGCGCAGGGAAGCAGCCGCCTCATGCCGCTCGGCATTCAGCTCACGCGACACACAGGTACACGTGACACACAGGTACACACACAGGTACACACACAGGTACACGTGACACACAGGTACAACGCGACACACAGGTACACGCGACACACAGGTACACACACAGGTACACGTGACGCACAGGTACACACACAGGTACATGTGACGCACAGGTACACACACAGGTACACGCGACACACAGGTACACACACAGGTACACGTGACGCACAGGTACACACACAGGAACACGTGACACACAGGTACACACACAGGTACACGTGACGCACAGGTACACACACAGGTACACACACAGGGACACGTGACACACAGGAACACGTGACACACAGGTACACGTGACGCACAGGTACACGTGACGCACAGGTACACACACAGGTACACGCGACACCAGGTACACACACAGGTACACACGACACACAGGAACACGTGACGCACAGGTACACGCGACACCAGGTACACACACAGGTACACGCGATGCACAGGTACACGTGACACACAGGAACACGCGTCACACAGGTACACACACAGGTACACACACAGGTACACGCGACACACAGGTACACGTGACACACAGGTACACACACAGGTACACGTGACACACAGGTACACACACAGGTACACGTGACGCACAGGTGGGCACCGGTGCTCCATGACGCCCGGCCGGCCAGGGATTTTGCTACCGGGCAGCTTGCAGTCGAGATGATCGGTGTAAGGCACTACCACGAGGCTGCAAGCCCACGAGATTGCAGACTATTCATAAAAATCCTTTATTACGTTTGTTTTTAATAAACCAGTGGGGCGGCTGAAACGTGGATTCGAAGCCAGGATCTCATCAGTGGCGCTTCGTCAATATTCATCATCATCACCACCATCAGCCATTGTCTATCCACTGCTGGATGAAGGCCTCCACGCGCGGTCGCCATCCGCCGCGGCCCACTTGCTGGCACCGTCTCACCCGCTGCACGCGAAACTGATTTCGCCGCTCCATCTCCGCGGGGAGCCGTCCTCCTGGGCGCGTTCCCTCCTACGGCAGCTGTTCTGCATCCAGTCTCGCCCTTCAAGTGTCGTGGTCGCCGTCGCTGTCGTTGTTGTTGTTGTTTGTGAACAACAGACCGCGAGAACCCCGTTCACACGCCGCACAAGAACCCGCGTCGCTTCCTCTTCGCCAAGATGCACGTGGGCTGCGCCGACAACCAGGTGCACCAGTTCGTGTCCCACCTGGGCCTCACGCACCTGCTCCTCGAGCCCTTCGCCGTGGCGCTGCACAACCACCTGCGGGGGGGACACCCCGTGGGGCAGCTCCTGCACCCCCACTTCCAGGTGCGTTCGGGGAGGAGGGGGTTGAAGAGGAGGGGGGGGGGGGTTGGGGAGAAGGGGGGGGTAGGAAGAGGGGGAGTTTGGGGAGGAGGGGTTGGGGAGGAGGGGGGGGGGTTGGGGAGGACGGGGGCGTTGGGTTGGAGAGGAGGAGGGGGTGGGTTTGGGTAGGAGGAGAGAGTGTGTTGGGTAGCCGAGAGAGAGGCGATGTTTAGGGCGCAGTGGCACGCGCGCGTGACCCTGAGTCTCCCTCCGCAGGACACGCTGGGCATCAACCACGTGGCGCGCCACACGCTCATCTCGAGCGTGGCGCCGCTCACCGACGCCACGTTCGCCGTGGGCACGGCGGGCGGAATGCGCTTGGTGGCGCGGGCGCTTCGCTCGGCGCGCTTCGTGGATCGCTCCTTTCCCCTGGAGATGGAGCGCCGCGGCTTCGGCGCCGACGGCCTCGACGACTTCTACTACCGGGACGACGCGGCCCGCCTCTGGGACGCGCTGCGAGCGTACGCGGCCGCCGTCGTGAGGCGCACGTACCGGGACGACGACGCCGTCACGGCCGACTCCGGTGCGAGGAACGCGGCCACCGCCGGCGACACCAACCCCCCGGCCCCCCCCCCCCTCCCCGGCGTCTCGTCACGATTCGTTTTTGTCGCTCGACTCCGTGGGGGGCTTCGACGTCGGTGAGGCGACAGCCCCGGAGACGTCGCCCCCCCCACTCCACCCCCAGCGCCGGGCACCTTGCGCGGTAGTCAGGTGGACGGGCAAACGTCGTCCCTGGACGACGCGAGACGTGGGGGGGGGAGGGGGGAGAGGGCGGGGGGCGTTTTGCCGTTCGTGACTTTCTCACTGCTCGTCGTCCACACCGCGGGTTGTCACGTGAACTACCTAGGTGTACACACACCTGGTTAACTACCCAGGTGTGTGTACACCTGGGTAGTTCACGGACGCGATTGCCTCCTCCTCATCCTCATCCTCCTCCTCCCGCTGCTCCTCCTCCTCCGTCTCCTCCTCGTCCTGCTCCTCCCCCACCTCCCGCTCCCCCCCCCTCCTGTGACACAGCCCTGCAGGATTTCGCAGAGGCCGTGGTGGATCCGGACCGTGGCAACGTGCTGGGGTTCCCGGCTGCCCTCTGCACCAGGGAGCTGCTGACGGTGAGAGGAGGCCCATACGGGACATCTGTGAACAAGAGCTTTATAGCTCATCGGATTCCTCCTGCAGCCTGAACAAAGATTCTGGTTGTGAGGCCGCACACAGTCCAGGCTCAGTTAGCGCAAGCGCCGCCAACGTGAACGCCGAGCGGCACTGAATCTAAACTAAACTAAGCCCCCTGAGCTATGTAGCTCTTCTTCACACGTGGCCTGGCCACGAATGGCGGCTCAACCAAGGGGCTCACCAACATCGCGGGGAAATGTCCAGCAGGCAAATACCCTGAACGTGTGACGTCGATTGTAAATGTGGAGGGGAAACCCGGAGGACTCGCGTGGAGAGAGAGAGAGACACGCACACTCCAAATATACAGCAGCAGGCATCTTCAGGGTCGGGATCGAACCCACGACCACCTGTATACCAGGCGAGGTAGTAAACATATCCTAGCCACCGCGATGATGATAATGATGAGAGAGAGAGACACGCAGAATCCAAATATACATCAGCAGGCATCGTCAGGGTCGGGATGAAACCCACGACCACCTGTATACCAGGCGAGGTAATTAACATCTCCTAGCCACCACGATGATGAGAAAGAGACACGCACACTCCACATATAAAGCAGGTGTCAGGGTCGGGATGGAACCCACGACCACCTGTGTACCAGGCTAGGGAGTTAACATCTCCTCGCTCGCCACCGCGGCGCCCCTTGCCCCCCCGTCTCGCAGGAGTGCCTCACCACCATCATCTTCACGGCCAGCGTGCAGCACTCGGCTCTCAACTACCCGCAGTGGGACTTCTACTCCTACGTGCCCATGCGGTGAGAGCAACGCTCGCACCTCGCTTTCCACTGCGCTGCCGAGCCGTACCGCTGACGCCACGGTGGCTAAGAGATGTTAACTCCCTCGCCTGGTATACAGGAGGTCGTGGGTTCGATCCCGACCCTGACGCCTGCTGCTGTATATCTGGAGTTTGCGTGCGTCTCTCTCCGGTTTTTCCCTCCACATTTAGACACACCACGCGTTTAGAGAGTGTTTGGCTGCTATAAGCCACTTTCGTTGAGCTATCATTTGTGGCCAGGTCACTGCTGAAAACGAACTACAGAGTTCAGTGGGACCTTACCTGGTGACGCAACGACTGACTGACTTAGCCCCGCCCCCTAGCCCTCCCCCCAGCTCCGCCCCCTAGCCCTGCTTCCCCCCCCAGCCCCGCCCCCTAGCCCCCCCCCCAGCCCCGCCCCCCGGCCGAATTCCAATATCTTGTGAGACCTGCAGCCTAGCACGGTTTGTTAACCGGATCGCTATGAAAATGTCGCCAGTGGAAAACCAGCCGTACCGCGATGGCCTCCTGCTGGCTCAGCTCGGCTGTGCCAGTGGACGAGTCGTGGCACAGCTGAGATCGCACCGTGCCAATCCGGGATTCAGGCAGCTTCTCGAGTGTGTCACTCGGCCCGGTTGATCATGGCAGGACCGTCAGGTGTGATGCCAGGGGGGGGGGTGGTGATCTCATTCAGCAGTGGATAGACCCAGACCCACGATGATCGTTACATCTCGCAGCAGCAGTTGAATAGCAACCACCAGAGGGAGCGGTGAGTACACGGGGTGACTGCGTGGCGTGAACGCCGCCGCCGTCGCTGCAGCAGCTGCAGCTGCAGCCACGCGCCACTCCTCGACTCGCGGTGGCTGCGCTCGGGGCTGCCACCGAGACGACAGCGCTCGCTGGGCCCATCGTGCACGGGCAGCCAAGGCCACGCGGCTTCAGCAGGGAGCGTTGCAGTCGAAGCGCGCCGCTCCGCGGCCCGGCAATGCGGCAGGGCACGTCACGAACACGGACGGTGCCCGATGGCCGAGCGTCCGAGGTATCTACTAAGTGGCAAGTCGTCCGTCGGGGAGATGGAGCGACGGAATCGGCTCGCGCGCCGGTTCCGGGTTGGACCGTCGCATCGCGGGACTGCGAGGGATGGCGGCGGCCTTGGGGAGGTGTTCATCCAGCAGTGGATTGAGCACGGCTGCTGTTGACGATGAAAACGAGGGCCGCTTTGTAGGACGTCAACGGGACTCTTCCGGCATCGATACAAGTCCCTGCCACGGTAGTGTGGAATTTTCCACGCCTGGCTCACAAGGGGCTGGCAACGCAGATGAGTGCCGCCCCCATCGCACAACTGAGCAGAGATCCACTTTAGCCGTGACCGTTATTACGATAACCCGACATGCGATGACCCCACGGCCACCCCCCCCCCTCCCACCCCGCGTGGCAATGTGGTACGGCCCGTCGGTGAAGTCTGCGTTGACCACAGGCCGGAGCATCTCACGAAGCTGATGCCGGAGGGGGAGGAGGACATCTCGGAGGAGTTCATCACGAGCGCCCTGCCCGACGTGCGCGTCTGCCTCTTCCAGATCCTCCTCTCTCACATCCTCTCCGTGCCCTCGCTCACCACGCTCAGCCAGGTGAGGACTCACACACCTGGACACACCCTCACCACACACACACCTGGGCACACCCTCACCCACACACACCTGGGTACGCACCTAGGCACACCCTACACACGCACCGAGACACACCCTCACCAACACTCACCTGGCTCTCGCGCACTCACACATGAGCGTGACCCCACTATCACTTCTCTGTCTCACTTCACTGCCCCCCCCCGCCCCCCTCCCCTCGTGCAGGTGGACGCGATGTCGGAGCTGTACCCGGACGTCCACGCGGATCTGCAGCGGCGCCTGCGCCTCATCTCCGCCTCCATCCAGCAGCGGAACCAGCCAGCTCGAGGCGGCCGGCGCGACCCCCTACCCCTACCTCGACCCCGCCAAGGTCGCCGCCAGCATTGACATCTGACCCCTCGACCTCCTGATTTTCGGGCGGCGCCGATTTGAAACAAGGACACGCGGCCCCGCTTCCAGGAGGAGGAGGAAGATAAATCGCGCTCACGCATGGCTCCCATTTTGTGGGTCACGTGCTCACGTTGTGTGGGTCCCACTGTTGTGCTGTACTTGTGCGCTCCCGCATCTACGCCCCTTGACCTCGCCAGCTCGCGCCGCCCGGCGTTGGTGAAGCACGGTCGGCATAATCCCCCACAGTCGGGGGCGGTGCAAGCGAGGGCGCTCATCCAGCAGTGGATTGACAAAAGCCGAGATTATTTTGCGCGGTAGTCGGCACGGAGTAGCCGGATAACTCCGGCCAGACTCTCCGCCGCGTCGGTCGCCCGAAAGGAAAGGTCACAGATTGTGAGTCACGACCTCCGAATATCGGGCACGGACGAAGCCCCGTGGGAATTCTCCGCTTCTCCTGCCGGTGATCTCACGGTGACGACGCCGGCGAACAAAGATTTATAAATACACCAGGCGCCCTCTGACCTGGTAAAAAAAACCCGCTGGCATGTATCACGAATTCATTTTTTTCCTGTAAACTCGGCTCCATTTTTGTATTGTCCGCAACGCCGATCTGTTTATTACTCACAGTCGAGAATAATAACGCAGCGGTCGCCAAGAAACGGAACGGGTCCGAGAGGACGCCGAACGGGGGAGATGGAGCGATGAAATCGGATCTCGTGCACGCGTGTATCGGGCGGATTGTCAACACCGCAGGATCGCGAGAGATGGACACGGCACGGGGGAGATCGTCATCCAGCAGTGGATCGACCAAGGCCGCCGATGATGATGATGACATTCATGTATGTGAGCCCCTTGCCATGGGAACATGGAATTGACATTGCTGGATCAGAGCCGCCAGTCCGGATGGGTAACGCCCATTGAGCAGGGAGACACCTCGACTGGTAGTGGGCTAACTCTGTGATTTAGTTTAACACTTCGGCTTTCGCGACGAATATTATTCATAATAAAGGCTTTTGGGTTAGATTGCGTTATTAATAAATGTGTTCACTAGCCCACCAGTGTGTTGAAGAGTGAATGCACAACAATTTTTGAGTACGATGTTTCGCTGGTAATTACATCCAGCATCATCGGGCAATTTGATTGAGTTAACCTCCGATTAGTACATCGCGAAATAAGTTCAACGGACGTACATGCTATACGTGTACAGTGACATTAATAGCCATGCTGTAATGGAAATTACTCATCCAGGAAGGCCTCGCCAGGTCTCAAGGCGAAGTTTTCAGGGAGGTGTCTGTATCGAGAAACGCCACATTAATGCATGTTGGTTGCTGCGTGTGACAAAACCAGTCCTAATCATCACCATCATCAGCCGTGGTCTGTCCACTGCCAGATGAAGACCTCCCCAACACCGTCACCATCCCTCACGGGCCCTGCAATGCCACCGTTCCACCTGACGCCTCCCCCGATCCCACGGCTCCATCTCCTCGCGGCACCACGTGCTGCGTGACCCGCCAGTTCCACTGACCCGCAACTCGGATCGCTGTGGCGCGCACCCGGCCGCCCGCACCACCAGCCCCGGCCGCAACCTTCCACCGACCCAGAACCACCACCACCACCCACCACCACCACCCACCACCCACCACCACCCCCCACCACCACCCAGCACCACCCCCCACCACCACCCCCCACCACCACCCCCCACCACCACCCAGCACCACCCCCCACCACCACCCCCCACCACCACCCCCCACCACCACCCCCCACCACCCACCACCACCCAGCACCACCCCCCACCACCACCCCCCACCACCACCACCCACCACCCACCACCACCCCCCACCACCACCCAGCACCACCCCCCACCACCCCCCACCACCACCCCCCACCACCACCCAGCACCACCCCCCACCACCACCCCCCACCACCACCCCCCACCACCCACCACCACCCAGCACCACCCCCCACCACCACCCCCCACCACCACCCACCACCACCATCCAGCACCACCCCCCACCACCACCCCCCACCACCACCCCCCACCACCACCACCACCCCCCACCACCACCCAGCACCACCCCCCACCACCACCCCCCACCACCACCACCACCACCCAGCACCACCCCCCACCACCACCCCCCACCACCACCCCCCACCACCACCCCCCACCACCACCACCCCCCACCACCACCAACCAACACCGTCACCACCCACCGCTAGTGTCATCCATGTATTTCGCGTCAAACAACGCGGGGTCATTATTTGAATGAAGCGAATCACCTCCCAGTGGAGACGGCAGCCGGCAGGGCAGGGGCGCTACCACGGGGGGCGGGGGGAGGGGGGGGGACGCTGGGAGGGGAAGGTCAACACCACACTCGGACCGACCGACCGACTGACCCACCGACCCGTACTCATCAATGCCACCCTCGCTCGCCTGTCTCGTCTGGGTCTCGGCTCGGCGGTTCTCCACTGAACGCCGCGCCGATTCGCTCTCCCCTGGCGCCTGCGCGTGCCCCACTCCGCCACGACCCTGACCCCGTGTTGACCCCGCGGCGCGGTGACCTCGCGGCGACCTCGCGGTGACCGTAGCGGCCTCTCGTGGCGTGCAGAGGGAGGGTGCGACCACAAGACGCGAGGCTTGGAAGGCGAGCGGGGAGGAGGAGGCGGCGCTCTCGTTCAATTCGTGCGTGTGGCGGCAGCGATGATGCTCAGGAGCTTGGTGCCAATGTCGAGGTCTCGTGCTGCTGCTGCTGCTGGTCATGACGAGAGGGCTTCAGCAGAGAGAGACAGAGAGAGACAGAGAGAGACGGAGAGAGACAGAGAGAGACGGAGAGAGTTGGTGTCGTGTCGCTGTTCCTCCTCCTCTGTTTGAAGCAGCAGCAGCAGCAGACCGCAGTGGGTTCACTGCAGGGTCCCTCGCTTGCGTTGCAGGGTCACAATCGCACTGCTGTGGCTTGTGCCCTTACTGCATCTCTATGAGTCTCTGTGTATCTCTGTGTGTCTCTATGTAACTTTGTGAGTCTCTATGTAACTATGTGAATCTATGTATCTCTATGCATCTCTATGAGTCTCTATGTATCTTTATGAGTCTCTAGGTATCTCGATGTGTATCTATGTATCTCTATGAGTCTTTACGTATCTCACTGAGTCTCAATGTATCTCTATGAGTATCTATGTATCTCTATGAGTCTCTATGTATCTCTATGAGTCTCTATGTATCTCTATGAGTCTCTCTGTGCGTTCTGTATGGTCCATAGCTAGGGTTGCATGGCCACACTCGGAGTGCTCGCGAGTTTAAGAATCGACTTCCCCCCCCACCCCCCCGATGTATTAAATTTTTACGCAAATGATCTTGGAATGCCGCATTCGCACGCGTGAATGGGATCACCGATAAAGCGAGACGGGGGAAAGGTTGCGAACAGGAGGCGAAGAAAATCCAAAACATCGCGGCCCAAGTCACCGCAATCTATCAATGCGACTGTGTGGTGGATGTTGGTGAACACCCCCCTCGCCACGATGAACTCACACATTCACTCACTCACACACTCACTCATACACTCACTCATTCACACACTCACTCATACACTCACTCACACACTCACTCACTCACACACTCACTCACACACTCACTCATACACTCACTCACACACTCACTCACTCACTCACACACTCACTCACACACTCACTCACACACTCACACACTCACTCACACACTCACACACTCACACACTCACTCACACACTCACACCACTCACACACCACACACTCACACACTCACTCACACAATCACACACTCACACACGCACTCACACACTCACTCACTCACACACTCACTCACACAGCGGTTCCGCCACGCGTCGCACCGCTGAGTCTCGATGGTTCCTATTCAGGAGGGTGCCGCGGTGGGGGGTCGGCGTCAATCATCGACGGCGATGATTGACGCCGCCGCTCAGCCTTCCCGTGCCGTGCATCATCATCACCATCATCATCACCATCATCACCATCATCATCACCATCATCACCATCATCATCACCACTATCAACATCATCATCACCATCATCACCACCATCACCACCATCACCATCATCCCCTTTATCACCACCATCATCACCACGATCATCACCATCATCATCACCATCATCATCACCATCATCATCACCATCATCACCATCATCATCACCATCATCATCACCACCATCACCACCATCATCACCACCATCACCACCATCATCATCACCACCATCATCTTCACCACCACCACCATCATCTTCACCACCACCACCATCATCTTCACCACCACCATCATCTTCACCACCACCACCATCATCATCACTATCATCTTCACCACCAGGACTGGTGGAGCAGTAGCACAGGGTCGCGGGAAGAAGAGATGTCGGCGCTTCATCCAGCAGTGGATTGACCATGGCTGGTGATCACGGTGACGACGACGACGCTGATTACTATTATAAACTACGAACGCTGACAATTCATTGAATCCCAAGCCGCTGGTTTGGGGGAGGGTGGTGCTGATGCTAGCCGGAGCAGGGAGGATGGGAGTGGGGGGGGGCTGACCTCCAGTGAGCCGGGCGAGTGGAGCAAGGCTGGGGGGGGGGCACGTGGAGGGGGTGGGGGGGGGGGTGGCGAGGGGGCCCCATTGTTTGGGTTGGCACTGGCGAGCTTTACCTTGGCCACGCCGCTCAGCCCCGCGGTAGAAATTTATACGAACAGGGCGAGGGGGGAGGGGGGCGAAGCGCCTCCCTTTCCTTCCTGCGGGGAGGGGGAGGGGGGTACTCGGGGGGGGCGGGCGTGCGAAATGCGCGAGATTATTTATTTATGTAACTGTGCGTGAGTGTGGGTGAGTGGGTGGGTGAGTGTGCGTGGGTGGGTGCGGGTGAGTGGGTGGGTGAGTGTGAGTGGGGGTGTGTGGGTGGGTGAGTGTCTGTGTGTGAGTGGGTGGGTGAGTGTCTGTGTGTGAGTAGGTGGGTGAGTGTGAGTGGGTGTGTGTGGGTGAGTGGGTGAGTGTGTGTGGGTGGGTGAGTGTGTGTGAGTGGGTGGGTGAGTGTGAGTGGGAGTGCGTGGGTGGGTGAGTGTGTGTGAGTGGGTGGATGAGTATGAGTGGGTGTGTGTGGGTGGGTGAGTGAGTGTCTGTGTGTGAGTGGGTGGGTGAGTGTGAGTGGGGGTGTGTGGGTGGGTGAGTGTAAGTGTGTGAGTGGGTGTGTGTGGGTGGGTGAGTAATGGTGGGTGTGAGTGAGAGTGAGTGTGTGTGGTAGTGTAGCGGTTAGCGCGCTGCGCTACGAACCGGCGACCCGAGTTCGATTCCCGCTCACGGCCAACACCAGTGACGATTATCTGAATCGGTCCTGGGCCTCCCCTAGGTCGACCCAGCCTCAAATGAGTACCTGGTACGGTGTGTAAACATCGCCACTGGGGATACAAAGGCGGCCGGGCATGGTGCTGGCCACCCATCCCCTCGTGTGCCGTGTCGGCCTTCATAGGTGCTCGCTAACAGCACTTGCCCCTACAGCCTGTTACAGGCTATACGTGGGATGTTTGTCTTGTACGTTCATGTGCATGCCACTGCCATTATTTCTCACGCTAACCGCTGCACCACCGCCCATCCCAGCACTCATCCAGGCTCAACTCCGCTTAGCTCGCGAGATCTGATGGGTCCGCTCCGGGTGATTTGGTCGTAAGGTTACTTATGAAGATTTACATTCACACACCCATCTATTATTCAATAGTATAATCTAATAGCAATTGCCTGTATTTATCCAGGAACACTCCTTTATACATTTGTGTAGGAACACCTGAAAATCTCAAATCTTCTTATTTTTGTTCATGGAGAGACACATAGGAAAAGAAGGCATTGTTGATTTGTTGTTGTTATTATTTTTTAACGAAATGCCTCCCTGACTCTCAAGACGAATTTTAACGAGGGTCTTGTCTGTCATGACGAGTGGCCGATCTCTGCCTCTGGAGTTTCAAGTTGACGTTCGTTTCACCAGGCAGTGAGACCTCACGAGGCCAGGGTGCGAGTCTCATTCGCAAGAGTGGCCAGGGACACGAGTCTGCCAATAAGTGTCAATGATTGCTGCTGCGGCTGCTGCTGCGGCTGCTGCTGCTGTAGCTGCTGCTGCTGCTGCTGTTGCTGCTGCTGCTGTAGCTGCTGCTGCTGCGGCTGCTGCTGCTGTTGCTGCTGCTGTGGCTGCTGCGGCTGCTGCTGCGGCTGCTGCGGCTGCTGCTGCGGCTGCTGCTGCTGCTGTTGCTGCTGTAGCTGCTGCTGTAGCTGCTGCGGCTGCTGCTGCTGATGCTGCTGTAGCTGTTGCTGCTGCTGTAGTTGCTGCGGCTGCTGCTGCTGATGCTGCTGTAGCTGCTGCTGCTGCTGTAGCTGCGGCTGCTGCTGCTGCTGTTGCTGCTGTAGCTGCTGCTGCTGCTGTAGCTGCTGCGGCTGCTGCTGCTGTTGCTGCTGTAGCTGCTGCTGCTGCTGTAGCTGCTGCGGCTGCTGCTGCTGTTGCTGCTGTAGCTGCTGCTGCTGCTGTAGCTGCTGCGGCTGCTGCTGCTGTTGCTGCTGTAGCTGCTGCTGCTGCTGCTGTAGCTGCTGCGGCTGCTGCTGCTGCTGCTGCTGCTGATGCTGTGGCTGCTGCGGCTGCTGCTGCGGCTGCTGCGGCTGCTGCTGCGGCTGCTGCTGCGTACAAACCCAATCAAGTCATTTTCCGGTCAATTCCACATTTTGGCAAATTTGGACCGCGACGCGGGCACACGGCGGCCAACTCTCGCGAGTGGCGCCACGGGGCCTTTAAACGTCCGGTGTGAAGTAGCGGTCACCGTAGTACACCGCGGTATTAATCAGGACGGCTGCTCGATTCGAACCGCGAACCTCCGCAGCGAGCGGCGACCGCGGCTCCCCACTCGGCACATCCCCGCGGGGTTTTCCCGCTGCCGGGGCGGGGGGGTGGTGGGGAATCCATTCGGTTTCCCATCACTCAGCACAGCCGGGGGTCTGACCGGGGTGGCGTGTGGGGTGGGGGTAGCGGGTGGCAGCGGAGCGTGACTCACAGCGCTCAGGATGCAAGGGTTGGTGGACCACGTGGATCTGTGAGACCCCCCCCCCCACCCCCACCACCACCACGGCTGGGCTACGACCTGGCGACGTGAGATGTGGGTACGGGAAGGAGGGCCGTGAGACCGAGTCGCTGGAGACGTCTTCAGTGAGCTCCCCGTGGCGTGCTTGCTGGGGTTTCTCAGGGCTCCCTGGTGTCTTCCTGCACGCACAGTGCACGCCTGGATGCGACATTGGTGCAACGTCCCAGTGCAGCGCTGAAGCTCAGGGCACTTTCTGAATGAATGAATGCACACATTCCTTGGGCGGCTCAATGGACGTGTCGCTGAATGGAGACTTCGACTTCAGTGGCTTTCCGTGAAATCTCAAGAGGCTCACCCACAAGTTGGCCCCACTCCGGGCTGCTCACGAATTCCAACACCGCGCGTCCTCCGAGTCGGTGCGTCAGACCACGACAGCCGGAGGGGGTCCCCCCCCCCCCCCCCCGTGTTGGAGGGGGGTTCTGGGCAGCGCTCTGCCAGTGTCGCGTGCGTCGTTTTGTTTGCATGTCCAACACAAGTCCCGTGTGTGTGGTTAATGAATTGCCAGAATAGGGCCAAATCTATTCTGATATCGTTGAGTGATGATAATTATCGATTCGGAAGGCGCACGAGTCACGCGTCCGGTCGCGAGCGTGCGGATCGATTCGTGTGCCGTTTTATTTTACTTTCTCTCTCCGTGACTTTACCGAAAGAACCAAAGAGAATGCAACAACAACAATAATACTAACAGAGCAGATTCGTTGTGGAATCTAATGTACTCCTGCACAGCAGGCGAAGAAGATCGAGTTCTCGCCACCGCGGCACCGTGCTACGAATCCCCATGCCACCTCGGTTCGATTCCTCGCTCACGACCGCCAACGGCAGTACCTGGGCATCCCCTAGGTTGACTCAGCCTCGAATGAGCAGCTGGTGCGATAATGTGTGAACACTGCCATTAGGGGAGACAAAGGCGGCCGGGCGTGGTGCTGGCCACCCACCCCCTCGTGTGCTGTGCCGCAAAAGCATTGCTAAGGCGATACGGGGGATCTTTGTCTTTGTTGTGTGCACGTGCTGTGTTTAGTTTGTTGTTGCTGTGTTTACTTTGTTGTTGTTGTGTTTAGTTTGTTGTTGTGTTTAGTTTGTTGTTGTTGTGTTTAGTTTGTTGTCCTTCCTCCCGCACCTCCGATGAGCCACGGATGGCTACGTACGGTGCGAAAAAAGTTCAGCATGCGTACAAAGCCACAGTGACACACACACAGACAGGCAGGTCTCTTGACGCCCCCCTCTTTACACTTGGTGAGAACCTGCTCGGCCCGGGACCCCGCGTGCATAAGAACAAGGGGAGAGAGAGGAAGACACGAAGGATCTGTGGTGGTGGATGGTGGTGGTGGGAGTGGATGGTGGTGGTGGATGGTGGTGGTGGGAGTGGATGGTGGTGGTGGGAGTGGATGGTGGTGGTGGTGGGAGTGGATGGTGGTGGTGGGAGTGGATGGTGGTGGTGGGAGTGGATGGTGGTGGTGGTGGGAGTGGATGGTGGTGGCGGGACTGGATGGTGGTGGTGGTGATGGGAGTGGATGGTGGTGGTGGTGGGAGTGGATGGTGGTGGTGGTGGGAGTGGATGGTGGTGGTGGTGGGAGTGGATGGTGGTGGTGGATGGTGGTGGTGGGAGTGGATGATGGTGGTGGTGGGAGTGGATGGCTGGGGGGGGGGGGGCGTGCGGGGTGGTGGAGTCGATGGCAGGGGGCTGGGGGTGAGGTATTGGGGTGGGTGGGTGGGGAGAGAGAATTCGGGTCTCGGGACAGGAAAGTGCCTTGGAACAGGGTGGAGCTGCACAGGGAGAGAGTGGAGCCTCCGTGGAGCTCCCCCAGGGGGTTGTGGCGGAGGGGTGGGGGGGGGGCACCCGCTCCACACTGCCCCGGGCAGGCCGCCCCTGCACTACCGCTCTCCACAAACAACAACAACAACAACAACCGCCACTGAGTGGGTGTGGCGTCACCACGGCGCTTGTGCCAGGCTACGTGCACGTTGAGGCCACGTGACATGTCGAACGCCCGCTCGCAGCGGGAGGTCACGGGACAGACCCAGGTGGCATGGGTCCACTGACTGAGATGACTACTGGCCGATGCATCACCTGTGCCCCCCCCACTGTGTCAACTTGCTGTGTATAGCCAGAACCCACACAAAAAAGCCCTGAACAGACTGTTGGGGCAAGTGCTGTTAGCAAGCAGGCTTCACACACACGGACAGACACACAGGAAAGACACACTTCCAAACATCAGTTTGACAAAAAAAACCATATAATTAAATACAGACGTGTAACTGTGGTCACAATCAGTGACTTACTCTCGCCCGCTATTGCGCTATAAATATTTAGAAACAATGCGACTGATAAATAGAGCGCGCGCCGCCACGGGGCCAGGTTCAACACCGAACCGCAGCATCAACAACAAACGACAACAACATCGTCAACAGAAACAAACAACATCATCAGCAGCAGCAGCGGCGGCAGCAGCGGCCGCTCCTCCTCTTTCGGCGCCACGAGGCGCGGTCCGCTCCTCGAGGAAGTTTCTTCGTCTTGTTTCTGTTATTTCTTCTGCTTCGTGTTGTTATTGTTAAGAGGGGTGGGGGGTTCTTGTAAGGAGGGTGAGGGGGGAGGGGCTGGGTGGGTTCGGAGCCGGTCCCTTCCTTTGTGTGCGCTGCACCAGCCCTCGAGAAGAGTCCGATTCGGTGCAGCCGATGACTTGATGGAAGAATCGTGCGACGATCTCACGAATGGTCGATGTCACAAATATCGTGGTGAGCGATCGAAGCCATGGAGGCAGAGGTCGCAACCGGGTACCCGATACCCGTACCCTACCCGATACCCGGCTACCCGTACCCGGCCGGGTACGGGTACCCGTTTGCGACCCTGGTGCGGCCGGGTACGGGTAGGCCGTGAGTCACTGGTGAGTAACTGTTTGTCACTCATTTCCCAACGTCTTGTCTCTTCTCACAATTCAAGTTCCTAGAATCAACCCACCCGCGCCTGCAACATGGCTTCATCCCAGAGGTCGCAATCAGGTACCCGATACCCGTACCCTATCCGTACCCAGCTGGGTACGGGTAGGGTACGGGTACGGCCGGGTACGAGTACCCGTTTGCGACCCTGGTGCGGCCGGGTACGGGTAAGGAATCAAAACCCGTTTGCGACCTCTGCACGGAGGCAACCCTCTCCGCGTCTCACGGCGACGTTCCGCTGGCTCGGTACGCTTCGTCCTCCCTCGGAGAACGTCCGTGGTCCCATCGACGGCTCCGTCACTCATTCAGCCGACACAAACGTCGCACTGGATCACCCGTTCACGAATTGTTTTGCCAACTGAAGCGATTCGCTTTGTCTCGGTCGCACGCGGTGGCCAGGAACTTGCGGAGCGGATTTCAATTTTCGACCACGATTTTTTGTTGTCGTTGTTGTTACACCTAGGCTCGAGGTCTAAAGGGTAAACATAGACCATCATCATCATCATCCATACGGTGGGTCCCTGGTTCCATCCGATCAGAATGAACCCTCACTCGACTCTGGATCAAAGGCGCATTTCTCAATGTAGCTCTGTGAATGACCCACTGACACACAGACTGTCAAGTTGCAGTTGTTTTTCGTTGTTGTTGTTACGGCTGTCGATGTTTTGTCAATCACAAATCCCTTCTCCGAACACCCGCACAGACGTGGCCATGGCCCAAGACGCGAACAACAGCAGCAGCAGCAAAGTCTCGTGCCTTGACCCAGAGCTGCCCCGCACCAACTCGGGCACAGAGAGTCGCTAAAGTGGCGTCTTGGGACCCACCGCAGTCGCTCCTCCACGGCGACGTCATCACTACGGCGCTCCTGAAAGTCTAAACTAAAAAATTGAAGGCTCACTGAGCTCGAGAATTTGTGGCCAGGGAGCTGGCCAGAGACGTGGCTATCACAAACGATAGCTCGCTCATCGAAGTGGCTTTTCATCACGTGGACATTTCTAGCAGCACAATACTCTAAACTCGTGATGTTGGTTTCTAAATGTGAGGGGGCAGGGGGAGGGAAGCCGGAGGAGCCGGAGAAGAATCCGCGCGACCACGGCGAGAGACATGCAAACTCCAAACATATACAGCAGCAGGCGTCAGGGTCGAGCCCACGACCTCCTGTATACCAGGCGAGGTAGTTAACATCTCACCGCCGAGGCACGCAAATCAAAGTCTGTCTCACTGGCTTTCTCATGCATCATGTTCACAGTTGGTGGACTGCTACGATATACAGTACACGTGTGTATGATTGCTATGCAATTATATGATATACATTTGAACGCATTTTGTAGTTAATTTGTCTTCTAAAATCAGACAGAACCAAACAACAGTTTTGCATTTAACAAGCGAATGCACGAGAAGGTTCAATCGTGTCTGGCAGATCCGCACGCACTGTCCTTGACTGCAGCTACAACATCAGAGCCGAGTGTGTTGACGACGTGAATCCATTTCGATCAACAAACACCAGCACACGGAGCAGACAAAACATCACTTCTCATGAGCTACCGCTCGATATATATAATTGGCTAACGTTTCGGGCAATGACCCTTGTTCAGGATTTAGAGACGGCGCAGATGGATGGGCTCACTCGTGGCTGGGAGTGTCTCCTTCACCAACAGTTTTAAACTGGCGCATGAATTGGTTCTTTCACCAACCGTATTACGGGTTCCGATCACACTCGCCACTGATGACAGCCGTGCTCGGGAACTGAACTCGGGTCGCCGGGTTCATAGCGCAACGGCGCGAACCGCTGCGCCACCGCTCCGTTACAGCTCTCTCTCTACTGAAGAAGAGCCATTGCGCGAAACGTCAGCCAGTTGTATATTGATCTGCTCTAATGCGGAGTTAATGACAAAGGTGTACAATGTTGTTAGTGGAATGTGTGCCTGTGCACCAATTAGCGGAATGCTCCCAATCTCGTCAGATCGTATTCTGTGTTCATAGCGCGCCTGAGATCAGCGGAAGCTAAGCGGGACTCGGCCTGGAACGTGTCCGGATTGGATCGACCGCCGTGCATGCCAAGTTGCCATCGCCGGCAGCGGTGGCTGCTCTGCGTGGTGTATGTATAATGTACTTCGATGCTCCCGCGACAATGCTCCCCTCCTCCTCACCAATCTGCAAAGACCAGCGTGGTGAAGTATGGTCAACCCCCCCCCCCCCCCCAATCCAGCAGTGTATTGATATAAAGGCCACTCTCGGCATGCACTGCGAGCGCACGAAACGCGCCACGACCGACGCAGCTGCCGCTCGATGTCTGTTGCTGCTGCTGCTCCTGTACGCGTCGATGGTTCGTGCCGTCCGTGTTCCAGCCTCGCTTCGCCCACACACAGAGGCTTAGACAAGGCAGATCGAGTGAGAGACAAGTCGGAGCCGAGTCAGGGACAGCCAGCTCGCGACGGAGAGAGTCAGAGCCAGAGACGGATTGAAACAGAGACAGCCAGAGACAGCTAGAGACAGCCAGGGACAGCTAGAGACAGCTAGGGACAGCTAGAGACAGCCAAGGACAGCTAGAGACAGCCAGCCGCCTCTCTGCCTTTCCTCCGCAAGAAGAGTCGCGGGTTCGAGTCGCTGTGCGCTGGACGTGACGCTGCTGCTGCTGCTGCTGGCGGCGGCGGTGGTCGCAGACGCGGCACGTCCACCCCGCCGCTAGTCCACACACCCTCGTGTCGGTCCGCACACGGATTCGGAATTTTCTCGACCGAGGCCACGCACCTCCGAACAACGACATCACCAATAATCATCTTCATCATCATCATCCAGCAAGAGCCGACTCCTCCGTCCACCCCGCGCTCCTTGCTCGTGGCTGCAAATCTTCTCTCGGCGCGCTCCCGCGTCGCCTGCAGGCCACGGCGGGACGTGTTCACCAATCATCGGACGCGTGCAGCGCGCAAACGACCTCACGCGCACGGCGTGAGACCGAGCCCCGAGTGATTCTGCGCACTCCTCGGGGGAGACGGGCCCCGCGCCCGGCCGCGCGCGCGGCGACTCATCGCGGCGCGCGCGACCGGGACGAGGAGAACGGACGCCAACACCCGCGAGCGACGAGCGACGCGCGACGCGCTCACACAGCCGCCACCACCACGAGGGTGGCGTCTGGAGGAGTCCCCGTGCCGCCGAGGCCCGAAGCGGTCTTCTCGTCGGCGCCCTGCCGCCGCCGCCGCCGGGTCACGCGGCAAGCGGCCACCGCCACGAGGAGGCCGGCCCCGAGCGCGAGCAGAGCGACTCCCAGCAGCGTCACCACCGAGTCGCGGGGGCTCGAGGCGCACGCCACCGCCGTGTCGACGGCTCCGACGAGCAGCGCCACGAGGCTGAAGGGGAGCACGCAGCCCGAGCAGCTCGCCTCGGCGCCCCCGGACGCGCCCCGCAGCCGATCGTAGCGCAGCGCGGCTCGCTTCGCGCGCACCACCTCGCAGCCCGCACTCGGATGACTCTGATGCTGATGACTCTGATGCTGCTGCTGTTCCGCTTGCTTGCTCATCTGCTGCTGGTCTCGTTGTTTGTGATGCTGTTGCTGTTGTTGTTCCCGCTGCTGCTCCTCTTGCTTGCTCTGCTGCTGTTGCTGCTGCTGCTGGTCTTGGTGTTTGTGCAGCTGCTGATTCAGCTGCTGCTGTTGCTGCTGCTGTTGCTGCTGCTGCTGTTGCTGCTGCTGCTGTTGCTGCTGCTGTTGCTGCTGCAGGGCCTCGGGTCCCACTCTCTGCCCCACGACGCGGCTCATGTCAGCAGCAGCAGCAGCAGCATGGGCCGCCTCCTGCCACCCGGCACCTCGTGGTCGTGAAGTTGACGTTGCTTGTGGCGGTGGTAGTGGTTAAGGTGGTGGTGGTTAAGGCGGCGGCGGTGGTAAAGGTGGTGGTGGTGGTGGTGGTAAAGGTGGTAGTGGTGGTAAAAGTGGCAGTGGTAGTGGTGGTAAAAGTGGCAGTGGTAAAGGTGGTAGTGGTTAAGGTGGTGGTAGTAAAGGTGGTAGTGGTAAAGGTGGTGGTGGTAAAGGTGGTAGTGGTTAAGGCGGCGGCGGTGGTAAAGGTGGTAGTGGTAAAGGTGGTGGTGGTAAAAGTGGTAGTGGTTAAGGCGGCGGCGGTGGTAAAGGTGGTGGTGGTAAAGGTGGTAGTGGTAAAGGTGGTAGTGGTAAAGGTGGTGGTGGTAAAGGTGGTAGTGGTAAAGGTAGTGGTAAAGGTGGTGGTAGTAAAGATGGTAGTGGTAAAGGTGGTGGTGGTGCAGTAGGGATGAGAGTTCAGTGAGCAGAGTTCACGCGCTACAGCGCACAGAACTCGGGTTCTGCGTGCGTCATCATCATCATCACCAGCAGCTGCATCTTCCAGAGGAGAATATCCAACCGTCCTTCGGCGTCGCAGCGATGATTAAATGTTGCCGCTGTTGCTATCGATTATTCCATGCATTTTTAAAATATATAAATTTTAGCATATACGTAAAAAAACAAAATACATCATTAACATCAACAAATAATTGCAATCGTGTTGTGACAGCGAGCGGGCGCTGCGCGGAGCAGCAGCAGCAGCGAGAAGAGAGCAGCGGCCAGCGCTGCCGAATGGACAGAAGAGTCACGGGGAGGGGGGAGGTGGAGAGTGGGAGGAGGAGGAGGTGGTGGTGGTGGGAGGTGGTGGTGATGGGAGGTGGTGGTGGGAGGTGGTGGTGGTGGGAGGTGGTGGTGGTCATACAAAGACGAAGACTCGCAAACCCCATCTCCCTTCCCTCCAACCACTCCTCCACTCCTCGAGTAGTCCACCCACTCCAACTCCGCCATCGACTCGAGTCTCCTCTACACTGCCCACAACCCAGAGACACCAACAGCTCCTGGCGTCGTCGCCTCTCGCTCCCCTCGTGCTCTCTGAACGCAGTGACCCGCGCGGGTCGCTGCGTGCCTGCAGCAGGGTACAAGCACAAAGCTGCGAAAAAAACACAAAATCTCAAACTACTGCCCATTCGTCTCTCCGCGTCTGCTGCGAGCGTCCAAGATTCACAACTCAGAATGCTCTGGCGAGGACCGTTGCCGTGGGTTAATGGATCTTAGACTTGAGCGACATTATTTTCTTCCCGGACAGATATCTGAATACAGGGCAACCACAAATCTGGCTGTCCGCCTGATGATGCTAGTTGGCGAAACGTCGTACTCAGATTGTGAATGTTGTGGATTGGCTCTAACACACAAGTGTGCTGTACTGGTAACGAATTGTCATTTTCTGTTTACGTGACAAGCCTTGCTAATTAGCTGTGTCGGGTGGTGGCGGGTTTAACGACACATTTTTATTTATGCGACCTAACCCCAAAAATATATATTATGGTCATTATAGGGACTCATCTACTTACGAACATTCGAATTACGAACGTTCAGAGATACGAACAAACCTGTCCATATGTCCAGTTGCATGCTCGGACCGAGAGTCGTAAGTTCAACCGCCGCGCAATAGATGGCGATGGTGGCATCTACATCTGCAGAACGTGAAGAATCAGTGGCATCTACATCTGCAGAACGTGAAGAACCAGTGGCATCTACATCTGCAGAACGTGAAGAACCAGTGGCATCTACATCTGTATTTAAATCAGCGAAAGCCTCCCGTAAACCACGTGACTTGTCTGTGGCCACTCCCACTGAAGCCCGACCCTTTTTCCGACGCCCCCTGTGAAAACAGACGCTGCTCCGTAACTCAAAGACAATCGTGAGCGTTGGTGGCAGGTCTACAATAAACTAAACAACGAGCCGTCGTATCCCCTTCCAGTTATTATTGTGACATTTCACGACATGAGTGAATTGCAAGTGCAGCGAGCCTGCCGACCATTCACACCGCGGCGACTGCACGCGTCTTCACGCAAAGTCCAATCTCGGAGTGGAGTGTGTGGGGAGGTGCACCAGCCTGCTTGTGCCACGGCCGGGTGATTCTACACGGGATGATTCTAGACGGGGTGATTCTAGACGGGGTGATTCTACACGGGGTGATTCTAGACGGGGTGATTCTACACGGTGTGATTCTTCACGGGGTGATTCTTCACGGGGTGATTCTACACGGGGTGTTGTGTGTTCGTGTGTGTGCCCTACGGTTGCAGGCCCATGGGTTAGACTCCCAGTCATGGGCAGGAGGGGGGGCACACAACAGAACAGAGACAGAGTGGAGTCGGGCAAAGGAGATTGACACTCCCGCCGAGGTTGTTGAAGAGACACGAGCGAGCAGGACGCCGTTAACGAAAGTGTCTTGGAGGAATAAAAGGCCGAAAGACACACATACACGGAGAATTGTGTTGAACGCGCACCCCTCGCGTTTGCTGACCAGTCGTCGTTATGACAACAAATGGAAGTGAACTGCAGGAAGCCACTGAAAAAAATCGAGGAAGGAGGCTGCAAAGTCTGGCACAAATCATAACCGAATACGTACGCCGAGCACACACACACACATTAACACGGGCCTGCAAAGAAACGACGAAATATATGAATGTTGAACTTCTTTCGCACCGTACCTAGCCAACCGTGCTAATCGGAGGTGCGGTAACTCAAAGAGGCTACATCGAGAGCAGGCGTGAGTGGGTTTAAGAGATTGAATCCGAGGCTGGGTTCTCGGCAGGGGTAATGAAGTCTACCACGGTACCGGCTTCTGGATGGCCATCGAACAAAGACGGCCACTGCACCGCGCGATTTCAGATGCGCTTCCGCGGCCGTCTGGAACGCTCTTCCTTCCGATATTAGGAAGCCAGTGGAGCTATGCACTTTTAAATCTAGATCGAAAACTAATTTCTTTAAAATCGTTTTGTTTGGCGCGTGTTCTGTTTGTTGTCCCCCCCCCCCCTCCCCGCACACTCCGACGATGGTTACGTACGGCGCGAAAGAAGTTCACCGTTACACAAACTCATCCTCGTGGTTACGCGTCGCTTGAGGTGGACGTCCACGTCGAGGGAGCACGCGGCGAGAGCTCCGGGGGCCGATCGTGACAGCCGCGAGCCCCTCTGAGAGGCGCGTCGGTGACGCCTTGTGCCGAGATGTGAAAAGCGTTCAATCGACCCCGAGCTGCTGCGGCTGTCCCGCCGTGACCCGGCTCTCGTTTGAAAGCAACAAAAAGAGAGAGACGTTCGGTTTGAATGAGATTTAAACGATTTCTTATTTTACCAAGTAAGGCCCCACTGAGCTCCGTGGATATTTATCAGAAGCGACCTGGCGATCTCAACCAAGTGGCTTGGCATGTTTCGCATGTTTGGCATGTTTGGCATGTTTCGCAGCAGCCAAAAACTCTAGACGCGTGAAGTTGATTCTACATGTGGAGGGAAACACAGGAGGACCCGGAGAAAAATCCACACGACCACGGGGAGAGAGACATCGCAAACTCCAAACATACAGCAGCAGCAGCAGTAGGCGTCAGGCTCTCCTCAGAGGGTGTTGATGGAGCTTTACTGATGATGGTGGTGGTGATGGTGGCAATGTTGCACAACGGCCCTTGTTTAAATCAATTGAGGCAGTGCAGAAATGGTTTTACCTTCTGCACCAATGCGAATGGTCTCTCGCACTTGGCAGGGAGGGCATTCAATATGATTGACTGCGTGTGCGTTTTGGACAGACCCCGCCCCCCATCTTAAAACATGACTTAGTGGCCAGAGCTAAACAAGTCACGGCTATTTGGATGGTGGTCAGACAGGTCGTGTCACACGGAGCAGGCGAGGGGGGGGGGGCATCGCTCGCCTGACGCTCGTGGACCTCAGAATCAGATTTGTTTATACCGCAGGAGGAATCCGATGAGCTATAAAGCTCTTTATCACAGATGTCCAGTCGGGGCTGGTGAGGACGTTACAACAAACAGCACAAACACGCGACACGCGTGCACAGTTTAGGAAAGGTAAGCAAGTCACTACAAACATTTACAAATAATTTGTATTCAAAAAGGCTTTTGGGTTAGATCGCGAACGTATAAATGTGTCGCAACCCTCCACCACCCGACACGGCCAATCAGTAAAAAATGTGTCACATTAACAAAACGCCAATTAGTTACTTCTTCACCCCACCGGTGTGTTTGAAGAGTGAATCCACAACATTTAGAATTTGAGTTGTACGACGTTTCGCTGGTAGTTACATCCAGCATCTTCGGGCGATTTGCCAGAATAGTTTAACTTTTTATTTGACCAGGTAAAGCCCATTGAGCTATCGGCTTATTTTTCAGAAGCGACCTGGCCACAAATGATAGCTCAACCAAGTGGCTTTTCATCACGTGGACGTTTATAGCGGCAGCCGAATACTCTGAACGCGTGCTGCCGATTCTAAATGTGGAGGGATGCGGTGCCGTGGTGACGCCAGTCTTGTGTCTCTGCGTGCCTTAGGGCTGTCATCTATTCGTCGGCGAAGACCCATTCTTCGCACACCTATTCAATTTGTCGCTTGACGATGCTCTAAAATGCTGTTACTGTGTGTAGATCAAGACCACTGGTCTCAAAGCAATGGCTCAAGACTTTCTCACAGACTGAATGTGAACATCAGCGCGCTACGACACTGAGCTCAATACTGCCTGGAGCTTCATCGCCAAATTAACGCGGCAGCATTTTCTGAAGGCGCGGCGCATTGAGTGACAGCTTGGGGTCACACTCGGGGTCAGGCAGAGGCAGCTGCTTTGCTTCAGACTGCGTGTGGGGGACAGCCTGGTTGGGGAGGAGGGTTCACTGGGGTCACATCTGCAGAGACGACTGCCTCCCTCCGCTCTCACGTCAACTTCGTTATCTGCGAGCCCATCCGATTCCACCCACGCACGCGGGAACGATCCCCTGCGCGCACGTGCGGATGCAGTCGCAGCGAAAGAAGTTCCAACACACACATACACATAGTGAGCGTCTATTAGGAGCCAGCACGGCACGCGAGGGTGATGTGGCGAGAACTTAAAACGATGCACGACCACCTTTGTCTCACCAGGTGTTCACGCTTATAAACAGCACACGGTCTTTGAAACTGAAGCTGAGCAGACCCAATTGAAAACTCGAGACGGGTTTAGATACCAAATGATCTCCGACTGGGGATGGCGTCTTGGTGTCATGGTTTAGCACACTGGACCTGCAATGTAGAGGTTTCTGGTTTGATCTAAATCAATGGGTACGTTCTTTAAACATCCCAACCCATCTCCATGTCGTGGTAGAATGTGGGTACAAGTACCCATTTCTTCCAAGACGTCTGATCAACATTGTCGACCAAAAACCCTCTTAGAGGGCTTCGACAGAGCTCCCTCTATTGCGAGGCCCTTCTGCCAGCAGTGCTGTGAGAAAGACATTGCAGGGCTGCGCCTTTAACCAATATTTGTTTTTCCTCTAAGCAGATGGTGTGCGTGGTCAGGATATGAATCCAGGTCGCCAAGATTGTAGCAGCGTCTGCGAAACACCGCACAGCCACTCATCAGAGGTGAGCGAGAGCTTGGAGCCCTTGATGAGAAGTGAGTAGGGCAGCAGGGGGGGGGGATCTCGCTTCTTGCCGAGTGTGGAAGTGTTCAATGTTCTCCTTGCTGTGACTGCCTCTTTTGTAGATCTGGGTCCTCAAAATATTTCACTTAAAAGCCAAAGATGCAGAGCCGCACGCGGCTCATCGCCAGCTGTTTTTTTTTATCTTGGGCCACGTGATGAGATTTATTTACTGGAATAGAAACGT